GCATGGGATATCCGTTTACCCCTTGTCGAATTTTCATACAACAATAGTTATCATACGAGCATAAAGGCTGCTCCATTTGAAGCCCTCTATGGTCGTAAGTGCAGGTCCCCACTGTGCTGGACGGAAGTTGGCAACACACAGTTAGCTAAAGGATGAGATACTGAAAACACTCTCACCAGTCTGGAAATCATACAAGAAACGACAAAAAATATCGTTCAGATTCGTGAACGGTTGAAAGCATCTAGAGACCGACAGAAAAGCTACGCTGATCAACGGAGGAAACCTTTGGAATTTCAAGTAGGAGACCACGTTCTATTGAAAGTCTCGCTGTGGAAAAGCTTAATACGCTTTGGAAAGTGTGGAAAGCTAAATCCAAGATACAAAGGGCCTTTCGAGATTCTCGCCAGAATTCGCCCTGTAGCTTACAAACTTAATCTACCACGTGAACTTAATAACATACATCCAACCTTCCATGTATCAAACTTGAAAAAGTGTCTGTCCAATGAGACTCTTATTATCCCAAGCGACGAGATCGAGATCAATGAGATCCTCAACTTCGTGGAAGAACTGGTAGAAATCATTGACCGAGAGGTCAAACAAACGAAACAAAGTTGCATACCCATCGTGAAAGTCCGTTGGAACTCCAAGCGAGGACCTGAATTCATATGGGAGCGTGAAGATCAGATGAAACAAAAGTACCCACATCTTCTTCTCTAATTCACTTGTATCTTTCTTACTTTAAATTTTGGGATGAAATTCCATCTAACAGGGGGATGATGTGACAACCCGATATTTCAACTCTATGTAAATGACCTAAAAAGTCAAGTATTGTAACCACGTTCGTTATAATGAAATTAACTTCGAAAATAAAATATCCAAAAATCACTAATTAAATTACCTATTATGTTAGATGTCATTAAACTGTGATCGTACTTAAAAAGAACGCCCAAATCTGACTTCGTATAAGGAAATTATGAATTTTCCAAGTTCGGCTTAGCAACGGACAGCTAAAAACTCGAATCAGAGATCGAGCGACTTTTGACCGGAATGAGCATGAAAAACCTAATTGTGATATAATTTTGAAACTTCTGAACCACTACTCACAGATGGGAAAACATCAACTTTTTAACAAACATTGGTCTTGATTTAAGGCTACATTTATACCAGTAGGAAATATGGGATTTTCTAGGAACTAACAAACAAAAACAAACCATTTTATTTTTCATACAAATACTATCATTAAATACTTATGAAACTCACCAGCTTAAATGTAGATCTACTCTTTCAAAACTCCTTGTATGTCCCAGGGACTCAGTAATTACAGGTACCAAACAGCTTTTGAAGAAGGAACGTTGCGGCACTAGTTTAAATTCATATTTTGGCATCATATTGTAATTGGTTTTGAAATGTACTCTTTTAACAATGTAAACTTTCAATTATATATATGATGGTTGTATTGCTTTCTTTACTAAGTATTCATTTGTTACGTTACCACATGAAGTCATCCGCCCCCGAACGTTTCCATCGTTCCGGTTTGGGGGTGTGACACACTAAGCTTCGTGCTTACAGTTTGCAGTTTTGGTTTCAGGTACTTCCGGTAGCAGAGGGAAGATCTCGGGATAACTGCATGGCACACACCAATAAGTTTTAGCCTGGGATCTTTACTCTGATAAAAAGAACATATGTTGAGATGATACTCTAGTATGATATAACGAGTTATGTTTATGATTGAGAATTATTGTTTTTATTAATGTTTTAAAATGAAATTTTCGGATCGTATTTTTAGGACGTTAGATAAATATTAGTTTTCTACAATTTAAGCAAAACAGATAAATCAAAAGGCCATCTACGTGAGGCTGTCGATCCGACCATACCCATACATTAATTGACATGCGGGTCTCACGGTCTCACCCAGGTCCAACCTACAACCAGGTTTTTCACCAATGAAAACGAAGCTAATAACACGATTTTCTAACTCAAAGTCTCTCATTCACGGGGAATATTCAAGTAGTTAAAGCACGATTTCACTTGAATATGGTTACGATGTTTACGACAAAACCAAAAAACCTTTTTTCTTTTATCATCTCTCATTTCCTCAACAAATTCAAAACCACCTCCTTTCATTCCTCACTTCTTCCATTCAGAAAACCTTCATCATTTTTACAATCTTGAACCGGAACCCTTACCTCCAAAATCATTTTAGCTCCAATTTCATTCAACGTCTTTTTCCAATGGTCAAACACTTGCTAATCATCCTCGATATGTGAGTGAGAAGATTACTAACCTTGATGATGCCCTCCAACTGTTTGATGAAAGGACACAGAGACAACTTCTGCCTTCTGTTGTTAAATTCAACCGGTTGTTTTAAATTGTTGCCAAAATGAAGCATTATTCTTGTTCTATTGAGCTTTTTAAACAAGTGAATGTCATCCATGTTCTTTTTGATGTGTTGATGTGTGTACTATTAACATTGTGATAAAGTGTTGTTGGCAAATGCATCACACGAGTGAAGGATTTGCAGTCTTGGGCTATGGACTCATACATGCTATATTACCCGATGTTTGCACCTTTAGCAAACTCTTAAATGGACTTGTTCTAGAAGATAGAATCCTCAATGCAGACAAATTTACTCAAGAAGTTGATCAAAGGACTTTATGAGCCTAATGCAATTATGTACAACATTATGATTAATGGGATTTGGAGATTTGGTAATAATGATATGGCCATTACAAAGCCCTTTAATCATTAGGGTGTGTTTGTTGTGATGTATTTGGCTGTATTCCTTTGTAATTGGAATTGAATTCCAATTACAAAGTGTGTTTGGCTAGGTTTTTATAAGGAATTGAATTACTAAATGAAAAAAAACATGCCCTTCTCTAGTGTAATCAGATTCCTTGGCTATGAGAGAAGATTTCAAATACAAGGCGTGTTCCATATTTTATTGAGACAAAAATACCCCTTTCCTTTCATCAAAAAAAAAGAACGCAACCCTAATTCTAGTTTATTGCTCACTTTCTTTCCTTCCTTTCGTGAAGGACGACCTCCAATCCAGTGACCGAACTTCAGCAAACGAACTGATCCTTGCCATCTTCGTCATCTTCATTCATCATACAGGTATGTTAATCTGATTTCTTCATCATGTTTTCTATTAATTTCTTCTCCATCTTCATTCAATCTGATTTGGTAATTAGATCCTTCCAATCGGTTCCTTCAAATTCGTTCCTTCAAATTGTTCCATTCTCCATCACAATGTTCATTCTGATTTCTTCTTCATGCTTTCTATTTCTTCTTCATCTTCTCTATTGGCGGGAAAATTGACGCCTCTTGGAAAAAAGTCGGCGACGCCAACTCCTGGAAAAAGTCCATGGGAAATTGTCAACCTTTTTAGTTTTTGTTTTTTATCTGATTATGAGATGGGTTTTGAATTCCTGTTAATGAACCTGTTTTTTTATGTTTTTACTTGAATTTGTTACAGGTTATGTCGCGACTTAGTTTAACATGTAGACGTAGGTTAGGGAGAAGGAAAGTTGTTGTGGCATATTAGAACCAAGTTATGGTATCGGTTGTATGATTTTTTATTACCTTATGCAATTTGATAGCCAAATACAAAAGTAGTAGACTACGTATACGGGGTATATCATCACATATCGATCGATACACCATATTGCATAGGTATGCTTATGAGAGTGACAGCCTGTGTTTATCACAACTTAGGATGAACAGGAGATGTTTTGCAAGATTGTGTTCCATGCTAGAAACATTAGGTGGGTTAAAAGCAACTAGATATATGAATGTTGATGAACAAGTTGCAATATTCCTTCACATGATTGCACATAATGTTAAGAATCGAGTCCTTACTTGTCGTCTTCATCGTTCGGGAGAAACAATTAGTAGACGTGTCAGTCGAGTATGTCATGTGGTGATAAGATTGCATCCTTATTTGCTTAAGAGACCCGAACCTATTACTAAAGACTCTACGGATCAAAGATGGAAGTGGTTTAAGAACTGTCTAGGGGCTTTAGATGGAACACATATAAAGTGTTTAGTGCCACTTGAAGATAAACCTAGGTATAGACCAAGAAAAAATGATATAGCTAGAAATGTGTTGGGGGTTTGCTCACAAGACATGCAAATTATCTATGTGTTACCGGGATGGGAAGGATCGGTTGCGGATAGTAGAGTGCTTAGAAATGCCTTGCTAAGACCAAATGGATTAAAAATTCGAAGACCAGGTACTTATCAATAATAAATTAAATATCAATTACACATCCATGTTATATTAACTATAATGTATGTTTATGTTATTACTTAGTAGATGTTGGATATACAAACGGAGAAGGTTTGCTTGCCCCTTATAGAGTTCAAAGGTATCACTTGAATGATTGGCGTGACGGACATCAACCAACCACTCTAAAAGAATTATATAATATGAGGCATTCTACTGCACGAAATGTTGTAGAAAGATGTTTCGGTATTTTAAAGGCAAGATGGGGATTTTTAAGAGATAACTCGTATTATCTGGTTGCAATAAAGAATAGAAGCATAATGGCATGTTGTCTTCTTCATAATTATATAAGGCAAGAAATGGCAATTGATCCTTTTGAAGACAATGCTTCACCAGATGAGGGAACCGGTGACAATGGGGGTGGAAATGATGATAATGTCACAACCATCGAGGCTTCAGACGAATGGACTACGTTTAGAGATAATTTAGCAAAAACAATGTTTGATTCTTGGAATACAACAAACTGATGTTATTTTTAGTATATTTTCACCTTATTACTTTGTTATTTGTATTTTATTTATCGTTTATTTGTAAGTTATTACTATTATATTGTAGTTTATTTGGACCTTATCAATCTGCTATTTGTATTGTATTTAGTTGACTGTGATGATGGGTTTTTTTGTGTATGGGACAAAAGTCTCATGATACTTGTTTTAGTAAGTTGGTGTTTTGTTTTTGGTTTTTTCTATATTATAATTGTAGTTTATTTGTAGGTATGGCTAAAAAAAGTAGAAATTATAGGACGTGGACAACACATGAAGATGCTAAGCTTGTGGAGGCGATGTTAAATATGGTAAATGCGGGTGGGTTTAAAGCCGATAATGGTTTTAAATCTGGTTATTTACAACATTTGGGACAAGCATTGAAAGATTCACTCCCGAATGCGGGTATTCTGGCGAAACCTCATATTGAGTCAAGAATAAGAACTGTGAAGAAAGAGTGGCAGGTTGTTTATGACATGATCGCCAATAATAACACAAGTGGGTTTGGTTATGATAGTGTTAATCGATGTGGAATAGTTGAATCACCTAAGGTTTGGGATTCTTATGTAAAGGTATGTTTAATATATATATATATATATATATATATATATATATATATATATATATATATATATATATATCTTTGATCTATTATTATTCTTGTTCAAAATAATAATTTTTTGTTGCATGTGATAGGTGCATAAAGGAGCTGAAAATTGGAGAAATGAATCGCTTCCTCATTATGATGACTTGTGAATTATTTTTGGAAAAGATAGGGCTCAAGAGAATAGAGCCGAAGATTGTGAGGATATGACACATAATGAAAATGCGGAAGAAGAATTATTGCAAATGGAAGATGATTTCAATGAGCAAAGTGAGGAAATTTCACCTACAAAAAATGGGCAAAGTGAGGAAACTTCAAGTGCTAGTACTAAGAAAAGGAAACGTAAAGTTGATCTTTTCATTGAGGAAATATCTAAAGCCGCCGCGTTACTCGGCAAAAATCTTCGAGAAGCATTGACCACCATGTCTCAATCTTTAAATGCTGAAGTGGAATTACAAAAGAAAACTTCTATGGTGACTTCTGAAATTTTGAAGATTCCATCAATGGATCAAAAGGATAAGTTTAAAGCAAGTCGAAAGATAATGCGCGAGCCGGAAGCAGTGTTGACTTTTTGGAACTTGGAAGGTGAAGCACGTGAAACTTTTGTGAATCTCATGTTGGAAGAATGATATGTACCACATAGTATTTCGGTGTATCGTTTTGAGATACTTTGCTCATTTTTTGTAAACTGTGATATCATGGATATCATCTATGTTCCAAACTTATCTAACATGTATTTATTTTGGTTTATCATTTTGGAAGATGTATGAAAAATGCTCTAGAATGGAAGTTATATTTGATTGTTAGGTTATATATGTTTATAATTGGTATTAAATTTGATTGTGGTTTATTTAGAAGTTTTTTTTATGTAAAGTATAAAGCAATTTAAAAAAAAACAAATAAAAGGTATTATTGTCATTTGACAGAATTTCATTCCAATTCCTTCAACAAATCATCAATCCAAATAGAAAAAAACATGAGAATGGATTTCAATTACGACTCAAAATCCGGTAGCCAAATGCACAATAGAATTCAATTCCACCAGAATTCAATTCCTTCAGAATTCAATTACAATAGAATTCAATTACATTCCTTAGCATTACACCAATCCAAACATCCCCTAAAGAATAAAGGGCTTTGCAATTATGTCCAACACTACATTCATAATGAGAGATCAGGAACGTGTGATTCGGTATCTGAGTATTCTGAGGAGGGATATTCGCAAGTTCGTGACGTACACTTTGTATCAGACATTGGCTAAGCTGCATAACAATACTAGGAGGAGGAAGATCGAGATGGAGACCCAGGTGAGAGAGGAAAGGGAGATTCAAGGGAGAGATAGGAGACCAGTGCGGTCATAGTCAGCGCCTAAGCGGTTCAAGCCCACTGACTAGAGAGTTAGGGGCCAGAAGGGCCACACTTGCAGCAAGTGCGGCAAGGGTCACGAAGGACCCTGTTGGTTGGGGACTATTTGCTGCATGTGTATCAAGGAGGGGAATATAGCTAAGGATTTCCCCAAGGGATTTTAGGTTTGCTTCAATTACAACCATATGGGTTACTTGAGGGCCGAGTTTCCTCAGCTTGCATCCAGGACAGTTCAGACTCCGGCCCCCATGATCTTGTGTATTACCGTTGGCCGACAAGGGAGAGCCAAGTCTTCGAGGGCTCAAGAGAGAGCATTTCAGTTGACAATAGAGGAGGCCAAAGAAGCACCAGAGATCGTGGCTAGTATGTGTTCTTTATTTATTTCTACTGATTTAGTTATGTTTGCTTATGATAATACTCATGTTAGGTACTTTCCTTGTAAACTTTGTACCTACCCTAGTGTTGTTTGACTCGGGTACAAGGTTGTCTTTTTCGTCATCATCATTTTGTCACGGTTTTAGTATTACATGGGAGGCCTTGATTAGGCCATTGAGGGTATCTATACCTGATGAGCATCCGGTCTCTGCCATTAACGTCTATTAGGGATGTGTACTGAGATTTTTGGTGTTGGGTATCCGATAGATCTTACACCTATTGTGATGGGAGATTTTTGTGTTATTCTGGGAATGTACTATTTGAGTCGGTTTGGGGCTCTAATCGACTGTGAGTGTCAATTGGTGACGGTTTGAGATCGTATTGGGTTAGTGCTTACCATTTACGGCGAGGGTACTAGGTTAGGATCAACATTCTGTTATGCCGCCAGGGCGAGGCAGTGTTTGCAGCATAGTTGTATGGGATATCTGGCATATGTGGTGGATACTCGGTTTGATGAGAAAATATCAATTTCCATTTCATATGTTCCTATTGTGCGTGATTTCCCTGACGTTTTCCGGAGGAGTTAACAGGTGTGCCTCCAGAGGTTGGTAGAGTTTCGGATCGATCTGATCCATGATGTGGCACCTATCACCAAGGCACCGTATCGTCTAGCACCACCCAAGATGCATGAGTTATCCTTTCAACTTCGGGAGCTGTTAGGAAAGGAGTTTAATCGGCCGAATAGTTCACCGTGGGGAGCACCGATCCATTTTGTCAAGAAGGATAGTTCACATCGGATGTGCATTGATTATTAGGAGTTGACCAAGCTGACGGTGAAGAATTGTTATCCGTTGCCGAGGATTGATGATCTATTTGTTCAGTTGATGGAGGCATCTTGTTTTTCCAAGATTGATCTAAGGTTTGGCTACCATCAGATGAAGGTGTAAGTGGAGGATATTCAGAAGACGGTCTTCCAAACTCGTTATGGGAATTATGAGCTCGTGGTAATGACTTTTGGACTCACCAAAGTACTGACGGTGTTCATGTATCTCATGAACCGGGTATGTAGGCCCATGTTGGATCGGTCAGTGATTGTCTTCACTGATGACATTTTGGTCTATTTGAAGACTAGAGAGTAGCATGAGGAACATTTGCATAAGGTTCTTAGGATTTTAAGGATGGAGAGGCTATACGCCAAGTTCTCCAAGTGTGAGTTCTGGTTGTGTGACGTTTAGTTTTTAGGACACCGCGTCAATCAGAACGGTGTGTTGGTTCACCCAGCCAAGATAGAGGCGGCGATGCGGTGGGAACTGCTAAAGTCTCAATCTGAGATTCGGAATTTCCTTGATTTGGCAGGATATTATCGGAGATTCATTCGAGATTTCTCCAAGATTGCAGTTCCTCTCACTAAGTTGACAAGGAAGGATGGGGTGTTTAGATGGGGGCCTGAGCAGCATGTGTCATTTGATACTCTTTGGTAGAGACATTGCGAGGCACCAGTACTTGCCCTCCCTGAGGGAATTAAGGACTTTGTGGTTTATTGTGATGTAAGTATTTCAGGATTGGGTGTTGTGTTGATACAGAGGGGGCATGTGATTGCATACGTTTTGAGGCAGCTGAAGCCTCATGAGGCGAAGTATCCCAACCATGAGTTGGAATTGGGGGCAGTGGTTTTTGCTCTCAAGATTTGGCACAACTATCTTTATGGAGTTCGGTGTACCATCTACACAGACCATAAGAGCCTGAGATATCTTATAGATCAGCCTAACCTGAACATGAGCAGAGGAGATGGCTTGATGTAGTAAATGATTATGATTATGAGATTCTATATCACCCAGGCAAGGCCAATGTGGTGGTCGACACCTTAAGTTGGAGGACGTTTGGTACCCCGATTACGGATGTGTGTTTGAGGATGACTATGATGACTCTAGTCTTGGAAATGATCAAAAGATGCATAGTCTGAGGCCTTAAAGGAAGAGAATCGGAAGACTAAACATGTGGTCGGTCAGGTTTCAGCCTTTGATATCGACATTAGGGGTTATTGACTCTTCATGGACGGTTTTAGGTACCTTATTCGGGTGGGGCTCGACGGGTGTTGATGAAGGAGCCCCATAAGTCAAGATTTTCCATTCATCCGGGGGCTACCAAGATGTATCTTGACCTGAATCATAGTTATTGGTGGCCCTGTATGAAGAGGGATGTAGCATGGTTTGTAGAGTGATGCTTGACCTGCCGGAAGGTTAAGGCCAAGCACCAGCACCCTCACAGCAAGTTGTAGCCTTTGGAGGTTCCACTGTGGAAGTAGGAGCAGATCACGATGGATTTCATTATAAAATTTTCAAAGACTACAAAGGGTTTTGATGCTATCTAGGTGATAGTTGATTGTTTCACAAAGAGTTCTCACTTCTTAGCCATAAGTGAGAGCTCTTCTGCCGAGAAGTGGCCAAAATTTATGTGCAAGAAGTGGTGGATTGGTATGTGGTGCCGCCTTCTATTGTGCCAAATCGAGATGTTCATTTTACTTCCAGATTTTAGAAGAGGTTTCAAGAAGAACTAGGCACCCTATGAATTTTAGTATCATCTATCATCCACGGACTAACGGGCAGAGTGAGCGGACTATCCAGATGCTTGAGGATATGTTACGGGCTTGCATCATTGATTTCTTAGGGAGCTGGGACTCCTACCTCCCTTTAGCTGAGTTTTCTTACAACAAAATCCATCATGCCAGCATTAGCATGCCTCCCTTTGATCTTTTGTATGGGAGGAGGTGTCAGACTCCTATTTGTTGGGCCAAGGTCAGGCAGAGATTCATAGGGAGCACTGACATAGTGCTCAAGACGACCGAGCTTATTAGCAAGTCGGATAGAGATTGTTGATAGCCCAAAGTTGCCAGAAGAGTTATGCGGATCAACGACGCTCTGAGTTGGAGATTTGGTGCTCCTGAAGGTATTACCCTAGAAGGGTGTTATCCGCTTCAAGAAGTGGGGCAAGTTGGGCCCCAGTTTTATTGGCCCTTTCAGAGTGATAGCTCGTGTGGACAATGTGGCATACCAGTCGGAGCTACCTGAAGAGTTAAGTTAGATTCATGACACCTTCCATGTTTCCCAATTAAGGAAGTATGTAGTTGATGAGACAATTGTGGTTCCCTTGGAGGACGTTCAGGTCGATGATCGCATGAATTACATTGAGAGACCGGTGTCGATTCTGGATAGGAATGTGAAGACCTTGAGGAATAATATAGTGAACCTTGTCAAGGTTCAGTGGCAACACTGGAAGGGCTCAAAGTGCACTTGGGAGCCCGAGGCTGAAATGCTTAAGCATTACCCTGATTTGTTCGTTGAGTCTGACTTCGATGGCGAAGTCTGATTCTAGTGGGGGAGAATTGAAACACCTGTTTCCAGGTAATATCCTTTTTCAGTCCTTGTGTTTTAAAATTTTGCATAAAAGGCCCTTATGCGGAGGCATAAAAATCTATACGTCGGGCGTAAGTCAACATCTTTGGGCAGGTCAAGAGTTGAGTACGGCGGGCGTACATATGTGTACAGCGGGCGTACTCGTGTTGTCACCAAAACCCTAATCTTCTGGTTTTTGGACATTATTTTAGCATCATAACCCTCATGGACCTTCTTATGATCAACCTCCATATCCTCTAAACCCTAAAATCGAACCCTAGCTTGTATTTGAGAGATTTGAAACTTGAAAAGTGATTCTTGAGTGTTTTGTGTTAAAAGGAAGATCATTCAAGAGGTAGTGGTGCATTTTATCTTGTAGATCCAGAATCTTCATCTTCTTGTGCACCTTTTCAAGGTATAAAGTTCAAACCTTGGTACTTATGTTGTTAGATCCTGTTTTGCATGGTTTTATGTTTCTTTTGTCCCAAGACTTAGAT